AGCACCCTACGTTTCTGATTTCAATTATTTTATCAGCGAGGCAAACAGCTCTCAGTTCCCTGAAAAATATAATCCCCCCACCCCCCGGAAGCAGCTGAACTGCCTGGTGCTCTGAGGAAGCTGAATGGCAAATGGAGCCGAGCCGTGTACTTATTTACTGAAATAATTGGGTTATTTTCCTTTCAAGTCCAGTCTGGCATAGGCGATCATGATTATTGTGCCCTCTCCGGTTTCAACAGGGACCAGAGTTTATTTCTTTCACCACGTTGGCACAATCTCTCCGACAGGCCTTGCCAAGAACACGGTGTTACCAGAGGTGGTTTTTTTGTTTCCTTGGTGTTTACCAAACCGATAAGAATGCCAGCTGCAAAAGACAGGGAACCGAGAAATAAGAAAGAAAAAGCTACTTTGGGTTCATGGGTGAAGCATGTGGGGGATCTGCCCTGGATGGTGGGAATGGATCCCACTGGATGGAGATAAAGAAGGCTAGGAATCCGATCCTCCTAATAGGTCTGATGATCCAAAGTCCCTTCTAGCTCTGCAGTTCTAAGACGATGATTATGTCCAGCAGATTGGTGTTTCTACTTTGGACCCCCGTCCCAATTATTTTGAAGGATTTTTCCCTTCCTTCGAAAAGTGATTCCTCCTCCCCTTCCCCCTCAATCCCTCGGCAGTGGGAGCCTCTGGTCCATGCCCTTTTCCAAGGAAGAACAAACTGGGCAGGAGAAGGTGGCTCCCCATATCCTTTATCCCTGCTTGCACCTCTGTGGGCATGCAGAAGACTCCCCCCCCCCTGTATTTGACGGCCTCCTCCCATTTCTCTCCTTCATCTGGATAGATCGATTGACGATAACCCTGAGGCATGCAACCTCATCTCCTTTATTCCTGCCATCGCATTCTCCTCCCGCAATTCCCTCATCAGGCGGTGGCCCATGTTCCACCACCGGCAGTGCATTCTTGCTGGCTAGCGGCCCTGGAGAGTCCCTCGCTCCCTCCTGGGGTTCCCCGGGATTGTGGAGCAGGGCTAGATGGCTTGCTGGGGGCACTCGAGGTGACCCCCCCACACACACACACTGGCTCATACATTTTAGCTGAGCAAATGTGCTCCAGGTCACCACCGAAATTTGAGCAACCAAGCTTAGGGCTGAATATAAAAATACATCAAATTGCAGATACACAAGTTTTCAGAGGGACTGCATTTGCTTCCAGCACAGGGTGAATCCATGTTTCCTGACCTTTGTCTTGTCCGGACTACATTTTAATTTTTTTTTCACTTTCATCCAGTTGTTTATTAATATCAGAGACCAGTTTAGAGCAGCTTCCTAGGTTCTGGAAATAAAGAAGAAACCAAGGATTCCCTACACACCTTTAGACTACACAAACTGCAATTCATCATTGAAAGATCTAAAGTTACATCTGCAGGAGCTGCATCAATTGCAACAGTCAACGCCTGGTTTTAAAAGCCAGCCAGTGGAAGCTCAACAAGGATGGTGCGATCCTGACTTCTCTTGGCAATGAGTTCCTCAGTCAAGGTGATGCTACAGAGAAAGCCTGTCTCATGTATCTGCCAGCCTAGCGGGCCATACTTCCTTCAAGACTGGCGAAATATGGTGTCCAAACCACCTAAATAGCAAATAACCATTTAGCCACTGCATTTTGCATTCGCTGTATAGTGGTGCCTCACTTAACGACGATAATCCATTCCAGGAAAATCGCTGTTAAGCGAAAACATCATAAAGCGAAATTAAAAACCCCACTGAAACGCATTGAAAACTATTCAATGTGTTCCAATGGGGTAAAAACTCACCATCCAGGAAAGATCCTCCATAAGGTGGCCATTTTCGGTGCCTGTATAGCGAGGAATCCATCCCTAAGCACAGCGGGGAGCCATTTTAAGCACCCGGCGGCCATTTAGAAAACCCGTCGATCAGCTGTTTTTGATCGTCATAATGCGAAAATCAGTTCCCGAAGCAGGGAACCGATCATCGCTAAGCGAAATCCCCCCATTTAGACCATCGTTTTGCGATCGCAAAAGATTGTCGTAAAGCGGATTCATCATAACGTGGGGCAATTGTTACGCGGGGCACGACTGTAGTTTCCAGGGATTTTTCTCCCAATGGCAGCCCCAGGTAGAGTACATTACAGTAGTCCAGAGGCTCTTAACATTTTCTTTACCATGGACCCCCTTTAAACATTTGTTGCCATGGTCCACCAAGACTTAACTCAAGATTTAAAAACCTAAAGTGCATCAAATATTTATTTAAAGGTTCTCACGAAGGGTCTTCAAATTTGGAAAGAAGGGAGAAAAAAGTTAATCTGTTGCACAAACTCCCATTATTACAATATTTTTATTGAAATGGTTCCAATAAAATATCAAACACTTCTTTGCTATCAAACCGTTATTTTCATAATCGATTTTCATGTTTATTTGTTTTTAATGGAGGCGGAAGGTTGGGAAAGCCACGTTTTACACTAACAAGCAACGGAAACTAAGATTTTGTTCTCAGTTGCCTCTTCTTTCATTCATTCATTCCTTCAATTTTAACTGCAAAAGACCTTTTTGCATTTCTTCCAGCCTTTATGGACCCCCCCCAGGTCTAGAGACACACAGAGAGTGCAATCTCACCCAGAACAAATTTTAACCCCAATTCCAGGCTGCGTTCTTTCGCTGAGACCCTGGAAACCTAGATTTAAAATTCTCTCTGAATCTGAACAATTTATGGACAGTTGATCCTATAAGATTCTATGTACTAGTGGGTGTACAACTATGTACAACTAAAACCAATATATATTATGAAATGTGGGTATTTTAGTGTCCTACTGTTCTCTGTGTTTTAAATCAGAATGAAGCCGCTGAAATATCTGCAATCTGAATGAAATCTCAGGAAGAAAATGAACATTCCTCTCATTGTGTAGTAACGTCTCAATATTTACAGGCAATGCCTGCATTGAAACCTATTGACTAATGGGGTTAATGATTTTTTAAAGAAACCAGCTAGGCAGCATTTCAATATCTCTGGACACACTTCTGCTCTAAATGTGGGGAACTTTCCAAAGCAGATATGTGAAATAGTATTTCTATTAGAATTTTTTTTAACGATTCTGTTGTTTTTTTAGCCTGAATAGAGAGATACTACTTTCCAGTCCAACTACTGCAGGATCTCAAAATTCCCTGCGGATGGAAAGCCAAACTGGACCCACATACACACACAACACATTGGTGATGTGCTGCCACCTCCATGCGGCTGAATTTCAGAGATGTCAGGCCACGTTCTAGTGGCGATTTTGTTTCCAAAGCCGCAGGCTGCTGGATCGGTGCATATCAACAATTGAGGAGCTAGCCTTTTGTAAGGGTAATGGCTCTAAACTGCCCATTCAATACTTTCCATTGCAACAGGAATACCTTGTAGCAGTATACTGTTCCTGGTAAAATCAACCTCTCTACCAGCTATGGAGAGGACTGCAGCCAAGCCTGGAGGAAACAAACAGGCTAGCCTCACAAGAGTGGTGGCAGATGACACTCAAGACAGTCCTGAGGCTGTAATCTTTGGTTCCACTACACCATGTTTGGCAAGACTTGGGGGTGGGGTGGGGCAGAACTGCAAAAAAGACGGTTTATTAGGATGCTTAAGTGCTCTGTGCTTAATTTGAACACACTTACTGAATTTTTACAGGACATACGTATGTGACCGAACTCTCAACCTTTTCATTCCCCCGTCCCCTATACGCCATGGGTGGACAACAGAGGTGGCTCTCCAAATGTCTTCGGACTGCAGATCCCATCATCCTTTGCCAACTCTGCTTATGGCAAGATCAATTAAAGCTGGAGGGCCAAGAGTAAGTTGCGGACAGAGCAAGGGGGCACCTCATCCTGAAATTTTAGATGCCCTCTGATGCTGCAGACACAGACGGTCTATGTGGAGGCCCACATGGTTTTCTACTCCGGATTTACATACCAACTTAATCTCTAAAAAGAACTGTCTGATACTTCAGAAGGCTTCTATTTTTCTTTTTACTTCCTCCTTTGCTTTCAACATTCTGGTGCTCCTTTTGAGTCTCCTTGTCTCCTTGGTCGGAAGACAGACCATTTTTCCCCATTATTTTCACCTTGAATGATCACCTGGATGAATCAATGTATAATTTACATATTTTTTTCATTACATGACCAAGCTATTCTCCCTGTCTGTGTTTTATCCAGTTCAGCCACCCTTCTTCTTCCACTTTTGCACTGCTTCACTGATTATGGCCTGGATCCAAGAAATGCTCAGCATAGAATTATGGAACTGGAAGGGGAGTAAATAAGGCCCATCGAGTCCAACCCTCTGCTTGGTGCAGGAATTCAAGGCAAAGCAGATCTGACAAGAGGGTTGTCCAATTTCCTCTGGAATGCCTCCTGCCCTTGGAGGAAGCGCTCACCACCTCCCGAGGTCACTAGTCCCACTGTCATACTTCTCTTAACAGTTGTTGTTGCTGTTTATTTATTTATTTATTTGATTTATCCCCCGCCTCTCTGGACCGATGGACCACTCCTGATATTCCACTGGAATCTGGGCTTCCTGTAACTTGAACCCCATTATTAGGGTCATGCGTTCCCAGATGATGGAGGACAGATCCTGCCCCTCTTCTCTTGACCACCTTTCCAGTATTTGAACAAAGCTATCCTATCTCCCCCCCCCGCCCCCCCATTTATTTTCTCAAGGCTGAATATGTCCAGATCTTTGGACAAACATTAGCCCTCTCTAAAAACAACAATCCCCTTCGTCTTCATGATATTATTTACCTATATACTACATGCACGGTGAGTGTTCTTACCCAACGGAGTTGCATGCCCGGCCACGCCGTGCAACGCCGCCCCGGCGCGTGTGCAGGAGCGCGGCCAGCCCTCCCGAGCCGCGTGTCTCTCCCCAGATTGGCTCCGCCCCGATTCCCAGGGCGGGGGCGTGGCCGGCGCTGACGCAGCCAATCGGGCCGGGGCCGGGCGCCTATATAAAGCGGCGCGGGGGCCGCCTCCGCCCTTAACATCCCTCGGCGCTTCGGTGTTGTCTCGTGGTCGTGGAGTCTGCTCCCGGTAGCTCCTTTGCAAATGGGCTCCGTAGCCTAGCGTTCACCCCCCTCCCGAGCCAGGTCACCTGTGGTCGCAAGCCGGTCGGATTCTGCTGGGCGCAGCACTAACGCGTTAAGGTAACGGGCTCTCTCTCTCTCTCCTTTCTCCTTGTGTCTTCCTGGATCGCTAGCTTGGGCTCGATTCTGGAGCCCTGCCGGAAAACTTCCCCGCAAGACGCTGGACGGGAACCAAACTTCTCTTTGTTTTTTTTTCCCTGCCGATTTTTTTGGTTCTCTTATGCCTATGTAATTTGTGTACACAGTTTGCAGGGGTGGGTGGGTTTGCAGCCACTTCTGGCATATCGACGAGTCTAAGGATCAGGCCAGGACGACCTTCCCTTAATTGTCCCTGAACGTAAATTTTTTTTCCACTGATTCACACGTTTCCTTAATCACGGTCTCATTTTTAAACCGTCGGAGCAGATGAACTGAGTGGACCTCCGTGTGGGGTGGGGTGGGGGGTCACACAAGCCTGCCAGCGGTTTGCGTTTGTGGTTGAACTCTTCCAACACACACACACACGTATGGGTTTCTCGAGAGTCAGCCTCGTGGCGCTCATAGCGATGCAACTTTCTCTGCATGCGGGGCTTGCTTACTCCAAAGTAAGCCCCGCATGCAGAGCCTTGGAAGGGGGAGAGTCAAGGGGTGTAGAATTTAGAAGGCACGTTTGTTATGTGTCTTGTGTGGCTTTGTTTGTGTCCCGTTTCTCTTAAAAAAAACTAAAAGTGGCAGGGTGGTTCTCAGTCGTGAAAGCAAACACGAGACTTTATGCGTTGGGCTGTGCTTTCCACTGGTGGTGGGGGACCTCTTAAGCAGATTTTTTTTTAAAGTACAGTTGGTTTTGCTTCCCGACGATACTGATTGTTCCGCGTTTGCGAAAGAGGAAAGAGAATGTCTGAACGTTCCATCCTTTTATGTCGAACGTTCCATTTGGGGTCTCAAACGTTCTGTTCTGCGTCCGCCCTTCTGGTCACTCGGAAAGCATCGTCAGGCCGGTAGAATGGCTGGGAAGCCTTTACTCGCTGGAAGACTTAGCTTTGTTTTCCGTAAATAAAGCGGGTGGAGGCATTGGACTTTGTTTTTGTCCCTCCCTGCCGCCTCCGGGAATCCTACTTAATGTTTAACGCGTTGGAAGGAATGTTTTTGGTTGTTTAGTTCGTGGGCTGATAATTATGGCACCTTTCTGGGTCCTAATGGCCGAGGGCACAAAAAAACAAACCAACTCCAGATAGCCGAATCCCTGATCCGATCACCGCTTGATTTTATTTTATTTTGATAAGGGCTTCTAGCATTCGCCCGTTTCCGCTCCCAAATTGCTGATCCAGCATGCACGAAAGACACGGATCGTGTTTGTTGATTTATGCAAAGGGTTTGGGGGGGGGAGGGAGAGGAAGAGCCCGACTCCATATGTGTAGGTTGCAGGAACAGCAGCCAACCAGTTCAATCCGGTTTTTTGCTGCTTTGCTGGGCAGTTTCCAGCAAAATTTTCTCCACCCCTTTAAAAAAAAAAAGAAGAAGCAAAGAATGAGCAATACTATGATCAAGAACTGTGTAGGGAAGGAGACAAAAGAATTGAGGATTACCACCCCCTCTTCTGAGCTCATAGAATGTTCTTGGATAATACAGTGTTCTTTGCCCTTTCCTGGAAAAACCTTTTTTAAAAAAGAAAAAATTGCAAGTTCTTTATGTCTTTTTAAAGAGTTCAGCATGTGCTTCTATAATTATCTATAATAATGTTGCGCTCTTACATGTGCCCCATGGGAAAGGAAATGACTGCATGCAAGCCAGTACTGGCAGTAGTATGTAGTGCATTGGGGTGGATGTGTGTGAACTGGTATAAACCAGATTTCTGGTTTCCTGTGGGAAGGCTTAACCCTTTTAGTGCCATATATATATGATCTTTTGACATTTAAATAGCCTGTCTTGCTTCCAGATTTCATCACCAGTCGATAATTCTTGGGAAATTTAAGGAGAGCAGCTGGATTAAAGTTGAAGGAAACTTAATTCTGTGGTTGGGGGGTCCTTTGAAATAAAATTTCAGATTGAGTGATTGGTTTGTTTTTTAAGACCCTGATGTTGGGAGAATGTAAAGGCAAGAGGAGAAGGGGGACGAGACGGTTGGACAGTATCATTGAAGAAACGTAAAAGCAAGAGGAGAAGAGGGACGAGACGGTTGGACAGTGTCATCGAAGCGACCAACATGAATTTGACCCAGCTTCGGGAGGGAGTAGAAGACAGGAGGGCCTGGCGTGCTGTGGTCCATGGGGGTCACAAAGAATCGGACACGACTAAACAACAAAAAGAACTAGATTTCAAAGTCTTGCCATATTTTAGTGTCACTAAAAAAAGACATTACACACATTGTCCCTAAAAGGGAGAATAGAGTTAATTCCTACATTCTTTTTTAATAGTCTCTTTTATTGTAGATGGATTGTTTTAAATTTTGTTTGTAAGCCGCCCAGAGTAGATTCATTGAATCTAGATGGGCAGAGTAAAAATTGGAAAATAAAATAATTAAATAGATGTTTATAGTCATACAACCTACACACTAATCTGCCATGGAAAGTCACTGGGGTTGTGGAGCTGTTCTGAATTTATGAATCTCACAACAAAGTTCTTGGCTGCATGGAGCAGTGTGTCTGACTTATGGAAAACCTTAGAGAAATCTTTCTCTCTCTGATAATAATAAATTAAAACTCAGAATTCTAGTTCAGCATTCATAAGAACCTCAGCTTTGCATTCATTCCCAGAAGTAGTACTGTAATTATGTTGGTCAAAAATTAGCAAGGAAGCAAAAGCTAGATTTGAATCTTTTGTTGTTCTGATATAGCCACTGAGATGATTTAGAATGATGGTTTTTCACTCTTTGGCCCCCAAATGTTTTGGGGTTTAATTTCCAGAATGTCTGACTGTTGGTCATGGTGACTAGGGTTCGCAGGAGTTGGAAATCCCTCCATGTCTGCAGATCATATTTTAGAACTGGTGACTAAACTGTCCATTAACTACATAGGGTGTTTGTCTATGTGTTGGTACACCCACGTGGCACCGGAAACATGCTGTAGTGCATTCTCAGTTCCTAAGTTTTAGAAAGATTCCTTCATAGCATGTCATTGTAGCATACACCGTACATTTTGTGCTGTTCACATGAGTGCTTGGGTGCAGACTTGAGATGTTGAATTGTCTGTTGTGCATATGAAATTCCACTCCAGTGTCCTCAAAAGACCAGCAAAATCTGTTGAGTTAGAGCCAAGAAGGTCAGATGGGAGCCTTACTGCATTTAACCAGCTTATTATTCCTTCTCTATTTTGTGGTCATACCAGTTAGGTAGTCCTTACCTGTTAATTAAAGTCTGCTAGGAAGTGGCAGAATATATTTTGTAGAACAGGTCTGCTGACTATGATATGTAGGCAAGCATCGCTCAAAACAGAGAAGACTGCCATCAAAATGTTGGCTGTTTATGGGGAATGGAGCCCCTCTGTTGTCTTTTGTGCTGGTTGTCTCCTTTGGCTATCTGGTGACTAGAAGGAGCAGCTAGAAGACCCAGCTTAAGAACCATCTTTATTTTTCACTCTCTTCCCATCTTGTTCCGACCCAGCTTAAGAACCATCTTTAATTTATTTATTTTTCACTCTCTTCCCATCTTGTTCCATGCAGTAGCCTGGGACCTGTTGTTTAGTTGGTGCCTATGACTTGCTCTTACATCATGCTGAACTTTGGCACAGGCAGAAGGACTTCTTCGTCTGCCCCAAGGTCCAGACTGAGTGTAAGGGGAGACTGTTATTGTCCCCACATCCAACTTTGTCTTGAGTTGCCCGGCCAAATACAAAGAACACGACAATGAGTATGGATCAGTGGCGGAAATCCTATTGCTTCGTCTAGCGGTGGATTGGAATCAAATTGGCAGGATGGGTTTGATTTGAAATTGCAAGCTAAATTTTAAAAATTGGAACTTTTCATAGTTTAGATCCAAATGATATTTTAAGTTTAAGTCATGATTTAAATCTATTTTTAATTTTGAAAACCATTGGTTTTTATCCACCCTGTGACTAGAGTAGACCCATTGAATCCTTGGGGATTTGATGAATCAGCTGCTCTTCAAGATCCATTTATTCAATGGACTTACTCTAGTTGTGACTTTCTGTGCTAAGCCGCAGGACTTCAGCCATAGTGATGAACCCTGCTGACTGTGTTTTCCTTCTCAGAAGTTTTGATGGCCTATTGCCTTGGGCAGTTGTCTTGTCTAGGCCTGTCCTGTGTCTGAGGAGGATCCTGAATGCAAGATAGTAGAGAGCTACACAATGATCCCATCCCAGTCTCCTCTCAGACAACAAGTATATATTCTTGTGAAATGTGTTGCAGTGATTCCTTAAGTGCAGCCATTCAAATAAATGTCACTTATTTAGCTTCTACTACACGAAGAAATGTTTCAGACAGCCTATCCCATACACTAGATTGAGAGACAGGCACCATTTATCCAGAGGATGATGGCATAAGCATAAGCAGTTTGTGAAGCAGGGTCTAAACAACCCACTTGGTCAATGATCTCGGTTTGTAACAGTGGGCTCATAGAGTAGTCTTGTTGTTTAGTCTTGTCCGACTCTTCTTGACCCCATGGACCAGAGCATGCCAGACCCTCCTGTCTTCCACTGCCTCCCAGAGTTGGGTCAAATTCATGTTGGTCGCTTCGATGACGCTGTCCAGCCATCTCGTCCTCTGCCGTCCCCTTCTCTTGCCTTCGCACTTTCCCAACATCAAGGTCTTTTCCAGGGAGTCTTCTCTCATCATGAGATGGCCAAAGGATTGGAGCCTCAGCTTCAGGATCTGTCCTTCCAGTGAGCACTCAGGGTTGGCATAGAGTAGTCAGCTGTGTCACAAATACTATCATCTCTGTCTGTTCTCCATGACAGATTGACGTCAGTTAGCAATAAAGAATAATTGGGGTATGACTCCAAAAAAACCTTGATCTGTGGCTGATGTAACGTAGCTCAAGGGGGGTACCATTTTCTTAGATCTGCAGGAGGTTCTCGCAGCGCCTGCAAATTAGATACTTTTTTCTTTCTGCTTTTGGTCTTTTGTAAAAGACAATAGTATAGAAACCCTTGCTTGTTTATACTGATTTCCTTGACGGCTGCTTCCCTCCTCCTGAGAACACTGTTGATTTTGTTTCCCAGGGTTTACAACTTGCAGAAGAACGAAGATCAAGAAACATGGCAGCAATTCCGTCAAGCGGCTCCCTTGTGGCAACCCACGACTACTATAGAAGTGAGCTGGGGGGAAATGGCATTGTTGGGATGAAAGCAAGCTTGGGTTCAAGTAACTCCAAGGATCGGTGTTAGTAGGGCTAAGAAACACTTTAACCTGGCCACGTGGGTGCTGCTAGGCAGGAATGGAAAACGTGGGCAAAAAAAAAAAAAGGGTTACGTGCCCTGGTGCTGAAGCCAAACTTTAAGGCATAATCAAAAGGGAAAAATAGGAGTGGTGGACTTTTCTTCCCAAGCAGGAGAGAAGAGGAACGAACGGCATGTCCCTTGGAAAGATGCGCCATATTTTCTAACCAAAGCAGAGAGAGCTGGGTTGGTACAAATAAATTCCTGGCTCCTTATTCAAGCAATAACCTTTGTAATCCAAGGATAATCCAAAGGGTGCAGGGATGACCAAATAAACAAGCTTTTGAGACCATTTCCTCTTGATGCAGCGAGATGTTAAAAGTAAGCATTCTTGGGATGGAGGAGATTTGGTAGCTTGGGGGAAGAGATTGGTCTGAAGTTCTTGTAGTCTGTGTGAAGGATATGGGTAAACAAAGAAACGGGTCTCATCAGAGAATCTGGTGGTGGTGGGTTTCATCCAAGGTAGCCTGTCGTCACACTGAGGACTGAGAAGATAAAAACCTTAAACCTCCACGTTAAGCAGTGCAAGTGTCCTGCAGTGAATTCAGAACGGCATCTCTCTGAACTTGAGCAGAGAGGTTTCTTGGTGGATGGAAAACAGAGCAACTTTTCCTGTGGATTAACATCTCTCTATTTCTTGGACTATGAGAGAAGTTGGAAGCTGTTTTGGGGACTCTGATCCCAGCAGTTGAAGGACAAAACAGATACCGTGTATAAGACGCCCCCATGTATAAGACCCCCCCCACTTTTCTAATCCAAAATTAAGAAACCTAAGTGGGGCTTAGCAAGTGTAGGGGGAAAGGGATGAAAGTGCTGCAGGATCGCTTTGATCCCTGCTTTCCCCTCCACTTGTTTATGTTCTTCAGCTTACGTGTATAAGATGACCCTCGATTTTTAGTCTAAAGATTTTATACAAAAGTATAGTCTTATACATGGAAAAATACAGTAACTACATGTATTCCTTCTGTATAGAAACACTGCCCTTGTTATGCAGTAAATCCTGTGGCAGGATGTGGTGTAGCCCCTAAATGGCATTTCATTTCTCCCCTTCATTGAAATATTCTTTTTTTCCCCTCCTTTCCATGGGCATTCTGGAATGCTTTTCATAAAGCAATACATTATAATCCGTCAGAACAGTAGACTGGGTTTCTACAGGAAAGACACAAGACTGGGATGAATTAAACTTTGCTGATTTTCGCTTTTAGTTCCCGCAGTGTTCTAACACACTGGCCAGCTAATTCACCTGGTTAGGAACACAGCCACTTCCTTTGTGGTTGTTTGGTGTGCACAAGACATTTGAGGGGAGAAGCAAAGGTTTCCCTAGCTTTCTCTGCAGGGTTGAAAAGATAAATCATGGGAGAAAGTTCTGTCTTGTCACGAGTTTGGAAAACTTAATTTTGTGGACTACAACTCCCAGAGTGCTCCAGCAGTATGCACTCTGGGAGTTGTAGTCCCCACTGGGTCATGGGTGCAGTACTGGGATTTGGAGGCTAGGCTACCAAACTATTTTATGCTCCGATTTTTCTTGAGTTCTGCAAACCCTGTATAGTCTCTTACCTGGGTCCAGACTTTCCCAGTTTCTATCACTTCCAAGAGAGTATTCTTCAGATATTTGTGGGATGAGAAGGCATGGCATAGAAACCACCGCCTTAGAAGGCCACATCCAACAGTTTTGCTAAACACACACTTTTTTTGATTTGGCATCAGCCCCATCCGTGTCTGCTTGCAGGATGTCCTTGTTCGTCTTTCTCTGGGCTCTGAGCCCTGAGCCATTTGTCTAAAAGTAGCAGTAGTAAGGGGTTTTTTTTTGGGAGATGGAGTGGAGATCGATTTTCCATTCCCACTGCCCTAGTCCAGAGAATTGCCAACAAAGTTATGGAGCAGCTGTTGCTTGGTTAAACAAGCCAAAGGCTGCATCAAACTGTACAAGCGCTTGTATTTTATCAATCGGTTGGGAGTCCCTAGACGCACTTGCAGGATTCTTGTGCACGTTCTAGGCACATCAGTAGCTGAATCTCCCCTTTCTCTTGCTTGATCCCAAAGAACCACGGCGTTTACTGGGATTGGCACCCCAACATGGGTTCAAAAAGCCTTATTTTTTTTGTTCTCTCCATAAGGAAACTCCTTTAGAACAGCTGTAAGGAAAATGTCTTAAAATAGTTTGGAATCTGCTTCCCCGCTGGAATGTCTTGTTTGGTTTGGTGCTAACGGAAGACCTCTGTAATGTCCGGAGCTGCGTTGCTCCTTAATTTTCAGCATTTGAGACAAACTGAGGGTGCTGTCAAGACAGCAAGAAAGGGATGTGTCTGATTACTGAGGAAAGAGAGAAATCCTCCTTAAAACAAGCCTTCCATATATCCGTTGGGGAATCAGTCCAGCCAGACCCCCAGAAGCAATAGCTCTCCTACTGGATCAAAAAGGTCCAACTTGGGCATAAATCAGTAGGTTGGAGTGCTACTCCCCATGCATCATGTGCTTGTGGTAAAAGAGCTTGCACCAGATCCCAAATGCAGGCTATATGCCCACCCTCAAACTCCTATTAGAGCTTCATTATGGAAAAATTCCAGCTCTTCTAAATGCATAACTGAGAAATCAGTTATTGGCTGCATCCCAGCCGGACAGTTACAAATAAGGCGTGTGTAATAAAAATAAAAGCAAGGCGTTGTAGCTCCTTGAAAGTCAACAGTGTTCTTTCAGTGTGAATTTTCTTGCATGCCTTGCAGTCCACTTGAGGTGTGAACTGAGTATGTTTGCAGTGCCAGGGAAACATGGAGTCTGTAGTCTCCATGTTTCCCAGTGTTTCTGTGTGTCTTTGTATAAAACCTTGCATATTCTCATTCTCCCAAGTAATTTCGTCCCAGTATTTGGACACAGAGTTCGGCTTACAATGAGGCTTGTACGACGAGGATGCTGAGAGGACGTGTTTGTTATAGTGACCTCTAGGTCAGATGTTCTTCTGGTTGAAATTAGGCAGGAACTCAAGGAAAACCATGCATTTCCCCTGAGAATTTTCTAATTGCTGGGCTGAAAAGATTTTCATGTTCCTGTCGAATTGTTCTTCTTAGGCACTGGGGTGTTTTGTGTGTGTGTGTGTTTGTATTTACTGTTAACCCACTCCACTCTTGTTTTGTTTTCAATTGAAAGTATAGAAATTGCCCAGAAATGAATGAATTAGGCATTCCAGATTACTGCCTGTGATCACACATCTTTGGGTCTTGAATGGGTTTGCTGTTTTGTCTTGCAGGGCGTCTGGGTTCCACTTCCAGCAACAGCTCCTGTGGAAGTGCAGAGTACTCTGGGGAAGTTATCCCACACCATCCAGATCAGTATTTTGGCTTCGGTTCTGAAGAGCCCCCTTTGAGGAAGCTTCTGTTAGGGAGGGTAATCATGCTAGCTGGGGCATTTTGCAGGGTGCAGCCCCCAAACCTCTCCAAACCCTAAGACAGATTTGCTGAGAAGCAGCCCTACCATTATGTGGTTGTGTGTTCCATCAGGTGCCTTTTGGCTTATGGCAGCCCTGTGAATGAATGATGTCTGAATCATCTTCCCATTAACAGCCCTGTTTAGATCGTGTAGAGTAAAGGCCACCACTTCCTTTATTGAGTCAGGCCATCTCCCATTCCAGCTTCCTCTTTTCCTACTGCTTTCAACTTTTCCCAGCATGACTGTCTTTTTTTCAGTGAACGTTGTTAAGAAACTGCTAGTCTCTACAAAGAACACAGTTTAACAAATAGAACCACACTTTGCAAACTGTTTTTCTTTTAGAATGGATGGATCATTGATTGCTAGGCTAACTCTAATAGCTTGGCATATTTCCTTGAGACAGGCAAGTGCACATTAGATCTTACACACCCTTCTTATAAAAGGGAATCCTGGACCATTAGTAGCTGCTTTTCATTCTGCTCTTTCTCTCACTCCACCGTTGCCACCATGGACATTCTGGAAAATATTCCTGTACTTGAAATTTCTAATACCTGACTAAATTGGCAAAATAAACTGCAAGTTAAAAACAGGAATACTAGTTCTTAACTTAACAGGTTTTTAAATGTTTTGAAATTTGATGGTTAACATTAATATGTGTTTACAGTGGTGCCTTGCATAGCGATCGCTCCATTGAGCAACTAAATCGCTTAGCGACAGAGTTTTTGCGATCGCTTTGTGATGGTCCCTATGGGTTTTTTTCGCTTTGCGATGATCGCGGGGAAGCGATCATGGCAAAGCGACCCTTT